GCTCTCCGCGGTGCAGTGGGGTACAGCGGGGCTCAGCTGGGCCGGGGCTTCGGGGAGGCCCCCTGCCCTCCCGGCTGCCGCCTCGGAGGGGAGAGCGGGAAGCGCTGCAGATCGCTGGAAGACGGCAGGGGCACCAGTTCAGAGCTGGTTTTCAGGCTGGGGAGGGAAGTGGGAGCCTCGCTTTCTTCTTGAACAGGCAGAGGCGTTTGGAAGCCTCCGCTGTCCTCAGAAATGGCTCAGAGTTTGTTGCTGCAGTCGCCAGCGAGTGCTTTACGGGTGTGCTGCCTGTAGTGCTGTGCAGTGGTGCTCGGAGCGAGCAGTACCAGAGGGATGTTTCTGGTAAGATGGACTGATCACCCAAGCCAAGATAGTTGTTGTTTCTGCTCTAAAAAGCACTAGACTGGTGGTTTTTGGGGTTTTTTTGTGGTTAATCACAAGCACAGTAAAGCACTTCCTCTTTGTGACTATTAAAATTAACAGCTGTGGTTTCGTCATGTCCTGCGCTCCTGGTCAGAGCCATAGGGTTGCATAAAATGGCCCAACAGTTCTCCAGCAGCTCCAAGACTGATTAAAAATAGGTGGAAAACCCCAGAGGGAAGCACTGTGAGATGGAGCCACAGTCAATGTGATGCAACATAGCCAAAATCTGGTATCACAAAAACTCATGGTCTGGTATCTCATAGCCCTCAGCACCACCCACTCTCCATCAAAAGAGGAACATTCGCTGCCTGCCTTGATCTGCTGGGCTGAGGATGCTGTGCTGGAATCCCAGGCTGCCGCAGGAAGGGCCCCGCTGTTAAAGGTGGCAGCGTGAAGCTGTGTGAGACGCTGGGTTGATGTACAGCATTCTCTTTTTGGGACAGTCCTCCCTGTCACACAGGACTTCTGCAAGTCCAAGCCCTTCACTTAACAGCCAGATCCTGTGTTCTTACTGACACCCAAAATACGCATCTCTCCCTAAAGAGGTCGTGTAAGTGCAGGCCCCTTTGCCTTCTGAGGGGTTTGGGTCTTCCCATAGTACAATAAGAATGTAATTATTTGGGGCCATATTCTCAGCTGGTGCAAATAACTGATTCACCTGCTTTTTTTAGGTCAAAACACAAGATTATGAATGACAGCTTTACGAAAAACAGTGCAAAGTATTGTTTAAGTCTCCTGTGAGATAAACATTTAAGGAACTGTTTCTAGGCCCTGTTAATTGTATCATGGCATTTGGCCATTCAGCAGTGCACAGATCAAAGGGCAGCTCTAAAAATGGCATTTAGTACCTCCATTAACTCTGTGCGATTATGCAAGGACTGTGCCAAGAAAATTCTGAGATCTGCTATTCCCACACTGCGTACCTTTTTGTGCTGGTAAACACAACGTGCTAAGCAAAGCAGTCTTTGCAGGAAATTACTGCAGCAAAGCTCAGTGCAAGATCCTACTGGAGGAGAAAAGTGTTACTTATTTCCAAAATCCTCTGCAAGCTCATTTTGTCCATTCAGATTTATTCTCTCAGATACTCACACTATCACACCCAGTACTTGCAAGCCCCGAGATGCTTGTGCACAGGTGGACTGCCCAAAATCAGAGAGGGCAAGGCCCTTCAGCTGTCCCATCCTCACTTTCTCTTCTGGGCTCTTCTGGGTTGATGGTGAACAGGGTGGGTTTTGGTCAGGTCTGCTATGTCTTCCAGCAGTCAGTCACTGTGCTGCCATCTTTTTATCTCCAAATTTTGCTCACTGGGGGAAGGAAGGTGTGTCTGGGCTGGTGTGACCCCCTGGCCCTCCTCCTGCTCTCAGAGCGTGGATCTTCCAGTGCCAAAGAAGTTTGGACACAGCTTTGTAAGACTTAGTTACGGCATCTTTGTTAAAATTATTTCCCCAGCCCAGCTGCTCCCCCAGCTCAGAGCAGCTGATGTTGGTATGGCTCAGTTCAGCTCTGGTTTGCAGATTCTGGTAAGGACACCGAAGGATCCGCCTGTGATACATTGAATAGTCAAGGCAGAACGAGGAGTTGGTCTGCTCACCACCAAACTCCAGACCCTTCCAATTGCTTCACTGGTGAGAATGTGCTCCCCTGAACCACGCATTTTAGGTGACCCTAACATGCTCCCTCAAACCATTTACTACACGTCACCACCAGCAGGAGCACACAGGATATTTGGGCATCTTCAATAGCCTCCATCAGGTGTGTGTAACACCCTCCTGAATGCATTCCTCACAGCTTCGCAGTGCAGATTTCACGATCAGACCTGGGCAACTGCGGAGAAAACAGTTACCTGAGGTGCAGCAGCATGTGTAGCTTCCAGAAATGTCTCAGAAGAATCTAGAAAGCCGTTTACGTGTTTGTACCTGCTTCCCCAGCAGGAAGTAGCTGTATTTCCAGCTTTTCTGCACCGCATTGCAATGATGCACAACTGATGTAACGTGTCACCCTCTGGTTTTGCTCGAGCACTGGGCTGGGCATGATCAAACGCGCAGCTTTTCAGCCACTGCTGCTGATTTATCACTTGAAATGTGTTTGATCTTATATGCTCTTACAAAGCACAGAGGGAGCAATCTTCTAGAGCAGGAAGGAAAATTGCCTTGGCACTGGAGCACCACTGCTTGGGGGCGTCCCTGCCTTCTCCAGTTCTCTCTCCTGCTTTTGCCCGGTTTGTCCCAGCACCTCCAGGCCTGGGCCAGCCCCGCTGCTGCCACCAGCACCCAGCCCTGCAGCAGAACTGCAGCTCGGAGAGGGTTCATGGACCTCAGCTCCCGCTTGCAGGCAGCAATGCGGTGTAAACATTTACCTTTGTATGAACCTGCTCCAGGTGATTTTCCCGTTTATCAACTGTGCCAGGCCGCCTGCTGCTTTACAAAACACAGCCTCCGTGCTGACCCTGTGACGCTGGAAGTAGTTTGGGAATTTACCTGCTCTCAGATCTGCCTGGTGTCCCGTTCTGTTGCCTTCTGAGCACTGAACATGTGCCTTCCCATCTGCTTACCAGGCTGAAATCAGACATTAATTTATTTTCAGATTTTCTGATGGAAAAACACGGCAGCCCATGAAATACAGTTATGGATTTTTTTATCTCCAGTGATACTATTAGTGATTGTGGAGACTTCTCCCAAGTACTCCAATGTATCCAGCTAGTTGAAATCCTGAGTAATTATTTTGTTTTCTGTAGTTAAATCTGAAATGATTGTTTGAAAGCACTGAAGATGCTATTTAGAAAAAACAGGACTTAAATATGGTATAAATCATGGGATCAGACCTTCAGATGAATGACACAGAACCCACCTCTCTTTTCACTGAGGCAGCTGTTGCGATGCTGCTGCGGTCAAACAGAAACAGCTGGATTTTCAGCAGAAGGATTCTCCTTTTCTTTAATCACAGCAGCCATCCTAAACCCAGCCTGGGTGGTGCTGCAGATGAGCGTGCACCAGCGCCGCCAGACACCGCGTTGTTCGGGAGCATCCTCGCTACCTGGGCTGCTGGCGGGGCTGCTGATAAAGCCTCTGCACAGCTGCGTGTTTGCAGGGGTTCACCAGGTCCCAGCCGTGCTGGTGGCTGCATGGAGTTGAAAATCCTTTGTATTTTCTGCAACAGCAGCAAACTTTTCTTTAGTGCGACAGAGAGCTGTAGCACTGTGCAATTAAATTTCCTACGAAGGCAAATTAATGCTGAACCTTTTGACAGAGATTGCTTACCACAATGCAACGGTTCACGTTCAGTGGCTTTTTTAAAAAAAAGCAAACAATGCTCGTATATACCCTTTGATCTTGCAAAGAGATTTCATCTTTCTTTTCCTTCTTAGTATGCTTTGCTTTACTCATCTAACGGCAATGAGTAATTTTCTTTTCACAGTGCTACTCAAAACTTATTAATTAATAACAGTGGTCACAAGTCCTCCATTGTGCATAGCTGGTGTATATTTTGCTACAGGATAGCCATTTCTGTTGCATACAGTGATCAGGAGCCTGGTGTGATGATAAAACCTTTCCTCTAACCCAACTCATGGTCCTGTGTAGATCGGAGAAGGAACATTTTGCTCATTTCTCAAGGAACGCACTAAAGAGGTTTGGGTGCCCTTTGAAATTATAAGGGACAGAAGAAATGAGGGCTTTGTGAGCTTCATGGGCAGTAGGGGATCACAGAAAATGGTCATAAACAGCAGTGTCAGTCTGGTTGTTTTAGAAAGCTAAAAGTTAAGACCAGCAAAATAAGCATAAAAGGGGAAATGTCTTTTTCGTGCCTGAAGTTTCCTTGTGTTGCTCTTAGCGGGAGTTTGTTTGGTGTGACAGTAATTCACAGTTCTTAGTCCTTTTTATGCCGTGCTTTTCCTCCTTTGAAGCACAAGTTTTATCTACTTTAATGACCAGTGATATGAGGGTAGTAGGAGGCTGCGTTTACAGATAGTCACATGCTTCTGAGGTTGCTTAAAAGGTTGGTATCAAAGCTCTCGTGCAGCTGTGCATGTACGTGTTAAACATTTAGTAAGGTGTCCACTAAGAAAATAATTTTTAAAATTTGCACTGAGAACATTTTTTAAGGAAATACTGAGCAAGAAAAAACATCTTGAGATCTTTTATTAGTATGTACATTTTTACGTGCATATTAGTAGTTAAATTTTAGCAGAGTCAGGTTTTAGAGAAGAGATTGCCAAGAGATGGGTGAGGCAATAGGAAAGGTGAGAGCTGAAGAGATCTGTTTATCAGCACAGCAGTAACCAGATAAGCATGAGGTGCTCCCATGCTTGTCATGATAACTCTTTGCGTGGGCCCAAAGTTAAGGCAAAGATAATTTGACTGTTTGCTATCATTTCACAATGTGACTTTTGTTAGCCCTGTTTGCCCAGCAGCAGTTATGTGAATAAAACATCTCTGGAGCTGGAGGATGATGACCCGTGGGTGCTAAATGATGCGAAGCAAGCCCTGGCCAGTCCTGGGGAGCTGAGCCTCTGCTCTCCGGGGCAGTTGCTAACAAAAAATAATATTATTTAATCAGCAGATGGTAGGAGTTACAGTGGAGGCAGAACAAAGTCAGAGGCTGACCTTTATTCAGCCAAACACAACGTGCAATCCTAGGGAAGAATTGCTGCCAGCAGGCAGATGGGATAGAATTGGTAAGTAAACAGGGCAGAGCTAGAGAGGACAGAATTAAACCTTTTCGGTCTGTGTGTCTGTTTTTTTGCTGATAACCTGGAGGCACCTTTTCCCCTGCTGTTGCTCAATTAGATAAGACATTGAGAAATAGTTGGTTTGCAGCTTGTGGGGATGGGAGAGAAGCGCTTTGTCAAGGAAGCTGAAATGAGTCCCAGGGCTGGAGACCATGTGTGGAGTGAGATAGCAGGGCAGCAGCACCCATGTCTGAGAGCCACGGGGCTTCTGGATTGGCCTCGCTTTCTTTTCCAGTGACATTTTGGGCCTCGGGGTGACAGCAGTGAGGGTGCTGTGGCATCTCCCTGACTTCACGCAGAGACTCCCTCCCCAGCACTCCCTCAACTGAAAAAACCAGACAGTTCAGGCTATGGACACCAGTAAGTCTGGATTGCACACAAATGGGAACACAGTTTTGCACTGAGATTTTTCTTTTAGTTCTCTCTAAGGGCTGGCAGAGGAATGCTTCGTATTTAAGCCACTGCGTAAGCCAGCACTTTCACCTCCTAGAGGCAGCAGGGCTCACGGCAGGACACGCGTCCTCCCTCCGTGGGCATCCCGGGTCTGAATGAGCATCGCTGAGGGACAGACACCAGTGTGACGAGAAGGGGGGTTGCCCTGGGCCACGCACCACCGGGGACCGCTGTTATGAAACATGTTCAGCTGAAAAGAAATAAAAATGACGCAACTCTGCAAGAGGAGGGTCAAGTAAAACAGGAACAAGTGAAAAGCAGAAAGAACCATAAAATTGCAACAAATAATAGGAAATATTGACTAATCACTCAGATATTTGTTTGCAAATTTAAAAAAAAGTGCTATGTGTTTTCTTGCCAAAAAAAAACCCCAAACCAAACAAAAATCAAGACAAACTGGTGGTAATATAGACCATCTTTACTAAATGACAAATCATTCTACCCAGGTATCTTCAAAAATCTCTCTGTAGCAAAACTCTCATGAGCAAATCATCTTTTGAGAGTAACTTCCCTGGGATTAGCACGTTTGGGGTTTTTTTTGTATTTACCGTCATACCTTCTCAGATAGCTCAGAAAGAAAACTGAATGCATTAATACGATTAAAGGCTCATGTTGGCAGTTCATTGTAGGTTTCTCTGCTGAATTAAAGAAATCAAGGCCATGCCTTCAAGCTCCATCCTCTCCTCTGTGTCCATCCACTGATTATGTTACTTCCAGGTCCTTTAAGCTGGGATTTTGCAGCTGCAGCACTGTGCATATTTGCAGAGCATCCATACAGCTCTTGATTTAATGTTCTCTCCTAAAGGCATGTGTTAGCCTGTACTAATCCTTCCTTCATCTTATTTTTTTCAGACAACTGAAACGTGACCATCCCAGTGCTGTAGTCCTTAGTACTGACGACTTCTTCATTGACAATGGTGTGTACGTGTTTGAGCCTGAATTCCTAGAGGATGCACACAAATGGAACCAAAAGCGAGGTGACTGAAATTCATCCTGGAGTTTTGCAGAGTGGTTTTGCTTTTCAGCCTGTCTTTAAACTTAGCCCCCAAAATAAAATACCTCGAAGTGGTGTCATAACACTGCAGTTCATGGGGTGCTGGTTAAAAAATACATTTACCACTTCTGATTTTATTTCTTCTGACTTGTAAGAGAGACGTTTATAAATGAAAATATGTTAGTGGTTGATAGATGTTATTTTAGAGGGTAAAATGGTGATGGTTGGGTAGCACTGCTGAGGCTTGGTGACAGCAGGTGACATGCAAACACCAGCCCCGCAGCTGCTCAGTGCAGCTGCACACACCATGTCCTTCTGACTGTAACAGCACTGATGTCTGGCCTGATGTGGAAGGGGGTGCTACAGGGGGAGTCGAGCACAGCTAGGAGGAAAACCTGCAAACCCTGTTCTAAGTCTGTAAATGAAACAGCCCAGGGCTGTGCTTCAGAGAGAAGAATGCAACGTGCTTTTGTGGCTGTGCTCTGAACTCATTCCTAGCAATGGAAAACACTTGGAGCTCTTATAACAGACATCTTTTGGGAGTATCTGTTGGTTTTAGCTGTTGTAACCAGTGAGTGCTGTGATAGCACTGAGTGTGCTCCATGAGAGCTTCAGGTCTCGCTGCTGAGCACAGTCATCACCTCCTCCAGGAGGGCACCTGCTGGCCCCTGACCCCTGCTCACATTTGGGCGGCAGCCACAAGCCCTGGTGGGGCCCAAGTGTGGTAGCAGTGGGCAGAGAGGACGCTCTGGGGCTAGAAAGACCTGGCTCGGGCTGTTATTGAATACATCTTAGCTTTACTTCATGTGTTACATTGCAGCACGCAAGGCAATGAAGAATGGGAAAAGCCCGGTTATTATTGATAATACCAACATCCAAGCTTGGGAAATGAAGCCGTATGTGATGATGGCAGGGAAAGCTCTGATTTATTGCTTTTACACGCTCAGCTATGACATTTAAGAGGTGATCTGACTGAAACCAGTCTTAACATAGCTAAAAGTAATTACTTCCTTTTTCCCTTAGTCTTCTAATTATAGTTAGTAAATGATGCTGAGAAGAAGTCGGGGAAGAGGTGCCAGTGTAGTTGTTTTATGTGGTCAGCTACATAACTCAGTGAAGACAAAATTACTTGAAAAGATTAACAGTCTTTGAACTTGCCCTGTTACTTCTTGATGATCAGGATGTCATCCCCCTTTGGCAGTAATGACATGAGTTGAACAGTTCTCAGTCTATTTGTTCAGTCATATCAAGATATGACTTACAATTTTAGTTTGTGACTTGTGAAAAATACACAATAAAGAGTCTTCAAAGATGCATTGGTATCACTCGTCAGGAGATTTTTAGTACAGTTTCATAGTGTGGCCTGGCTGCTAACATCTCACTCATGCTCCTGTTCTTGGGTTGTGGTCTTAGTTAAGAAATTTATTGCTTGTTTGGGAGCAGAAAAGTGGCAAGAGTTAATAGTGGTGCTGGAAAGCCTGGAGAGTGCCTTCACTCCAGAGAGTGCCTTCCAGAGAGTTCAAGTGCCAGGATGCCATTGCCACAGGGGATGGGGACTGGGGGCGATGCTGAGGCAAGTTTTGCTGGGAGACCCAAATTCTTTGATGAAGAAGGAAATGAACCAGCTGGGTCTCAGACCAGCACCTTGATGGCAGCCATGGTTGTCTTCCCCTTTCTGGCTCCTGGTACATGAGCTACATCTCCTAGATGAAACCTCAGGAGGTCTGGAATATTGGCTGCTGTGGATCATGGCAGCCATGTGTCTAAAACGTCTCTGTACTTCTTCAGGCACGTGAAAATAGGTACGAAGTTGTGTTCCAAGAACCAGATACACCCTGGAAGTTCAATGTTCGAGAACTGACAAGGTACATCTTCTTCTCTTTGATATAGCAGACAGCTGCTCGTTTTACTGATGTGCTCTGAGAAAGGTCAGCACTCTTCATATACCCTGAAGAGTAACCTAGTAAATGACAACAGAAGGGTTGTTGTGGAAAATTTCTATTACTCAGTACCTGCTCTGCAGTGAATTCAAACCTGAAAGAGCCCGACTATGAGTCAGTAGAAGCAGCAACCCCCCTGAGGCATCTATTACACCACAAGCTTCCTGAAGCAGGAACCCTGATTTTCGTTCTGTATTTTGAGCAGCACTCTCTCTATTTGGGCACAAAACATGTCTAAGCACTACAGAAAATACTCAGACATCTGTTCTTAAAGAATCTAACCATAACAAATAGTGGCTTGCAATGGTGGGATGCTGCGTTGTGTGGTTGAGAAATGGGGTTCTGCAGGCTCTTTCTGAAGATCTTAATGCACACATGCAGAAGGTTTCATTCAAACAATGAAATTATCAACTCTGCACAATGCGGTAGGATAGAGGCAGCCAAATATGGCTCTGTGTTAGTTTGGCTCGTGGCTGCAAGGTTCATGGTTATATCTCTAAAAAAAGAATTCATGCAGGCTGATTTCTTAGCCTTTAATCAACCTGACATAAAGTACATTACATAGCTCACTCCCATCTGCTAGATCCAGAAGCTAACAAATGTGCTAACTTACTTGTTATTGCAGGAAAACAGGGCATGGGTACTTCAGTCTGACTGACTTGTTTAGTACCAGTCAAAACCCAGCACTGCTCCTTTTTGTGCATAACAGGGACAAATGGCAGAGGGACAGGCCCAGGGCGCTGGCAGCTCTGGGGAGAGGCAGGACAAGGCTGATGGCAGTCGGTGGCTTCGGGCTGGAGGCAGGCGAGGACACCAGCAGCCTCAGTAGTCAACTGCAAGTGTCAGCTCTGGCTCCCCCAGCAGCAGCTGGGAGCCATCACTGCAGCAGCAGGTTTTACCAGTGATCCTTCATTATCAGCTGAGCTACTTGGTAACTTGTATTTTATTAATCATTTGAAACAAGCCAGCTTTTCATAGTAGCACTGTAAAGCCAGTTCAGATACCCTCAATTTGGAGCAGCTCTTTGGCAGATGATTCAGGGACAGCTGAAGGCTGCCTCCCTGGTTCCACATCGAGTCTTTGCTGGCAATAGGGTTTGTGCTGGTTGCAGGCCCCAGGCTGCACACGTGCGGGGCACAGGGCTGCTGGAGGACCCTGTGCCAGCATCACAGCTGAGATGCTGCAACCTGCGCCCTGCTGCGCTGCTGTCGCCTTAATTCCGCCAGGGAAAAACCATGCTGAGTGATGCAGGATTTGTACACCATGAGGATTTGAGCATATGGATGCAGGACAGGCTTAGATTCTAGACGATGAGTTCTGCCTGGTAGAGCCAAATGGCAAAACCAAAGATACTCAGAGCTTGAAAACTTACAGGCAAGCAGAAATCCCTGGTGGACTTCGGAAAAACAATTCCCACTAATGTGCAGGGAGACTGCAGCCGTTTCTGGTCTATCCAGAAAGCCCTGCACGTTTGGGCATCCCCTCCCTCTCAGACTCATCGTCACTTACAGCTCTGCCTTTCAGATACGATTTTTCCCCACTTGTGCTCAGAGCAACAACAGGATTTCAAACCTCTGTACTTGTTGAGTCTGAGCTGTCTTCAGCCCTTGTCTGCCTGTCTCCAGATTCAGAAAAGCTCACCCTGAAGCTACCAAGCTGTTAGCACTAAAACCCATATAAAATAGTACACAGGTCTTCTACGTAGCTCGGTCTAACGCAGCCTTCATTTCAAAGCATTTGTCAGACCTTTTGTCCTGGCTGCCCACAAAAAATACTTGCATTATATTTTCAACAGTCAGAAAATTATTTTTAAGAAGTAGGTGGAAGTGAAGAGCAATTTGGCAAAAAAGGGCTAGAAATAGATCAGCGGGGACATGAACGTTATCCTGAACATATCAGGAAGCTTAGCAAGCTTAAGATAACCTCTAATGCAAGGGCAGCTAAATGCTCATATTTTCTGTTAATGTTGACTCTACAGAAGAAATATTCATCGTGTCCCTCAAGAGAAGATCCAGCGGATGAAAGACCAATACGAGCGCAGCGTCACCTTCCACAGCGTTCTCCAGTCAGAAAAGCCAAGCAGAGATGAGAGAAGCCCCAGTGGACCAAATGCAGCTTACGGCATGGGCGCCCATTCCAGCCCCCCTCCAACCTCAAACAGGAGACCTCACGTGGCACCTACAAACATCACGCCCTTTCACTGAAGAGGGAGATTCCTCAGAGTATTTTAATTATCGGGTGTAAAAGTCTCTAGTTTTACATTTTTCTAAACTGGTTTTTATTCTTGTATTTTTCTACTACATTTCTAAATTACTTGGATTTCTTATGTGTTTTAAATGTCACTGGATTATGATCTCTCAGCTCTACATGACTGATCCAAGAGCTCTATCCTCAGTACAGACTGTACTGCCTCTCATCCTTCTTCCTCCACAGAAAGCCATCCAAGCTTACACTGAAATTTACTGGCTGTGCCACATGCTTTGTGTTCTGTCTGTTGGTTGGTTTTTGTTTTTCCTGCATCCCACTGTCACTAGTAGGTAGCAATAAATATTCCTAAATTCTTTCTTTCTTACAGGCCACGTGGCTGATTCCTTCTCCGCACAGTTTTAATTTCTTGCCATTTTAATACTTTGTCTGGCTGTATAACCTTTTGTATCTTTCCACTCCCATCTTGCCCACAGCACTACTGCATGATTTGATGCTGTTCCCCATCCACATGGCTGCTGTCTGGATTCAGTGCTGCTCTTACTTCAGCTCTATCACAGCCAAACAGCTTCTCCAGCTTGGAGATGAAACACTTTTAACACACCAAACTGAGCCCTTTATCCTGCCAACACATAGGAGTTCAACTAATCCTGTGATGAGTCCATATGCAGAGGCTCCTAAAAGGAAACGTTGGTGTTAGGATAGTGCTTGTTAACTTCCAAGTAGGAACAGAGCTACAGGAGCAGCTCTAAATAGCTGAAGCACAAGGTTACCAAATACCCAGACTAACTCAGAAGTACAAAAATAATTACTTAAGGAGAGAAAAAAGTGTTCTTGTAAGAGGAGAAATCAACTCCATCCACCACTAAGTACCAAACCACTGAGTGATGGACGAGTGAAAAAAGAAGCTGCCCTGCAGTAGCTTTACCTGTATTGTTAAATTCATAGAATACTGGGAGTTGAAAGGGACCTCAAAAGATCATCCAGTCCAACCCCACTGGCAGAGCAGGATCACCTAGATCAGGTCACACAGGAACGCGTCCAGGTGGGTTTTGAATGTCTTCAGAGAAGGAGACTCCACAACCTCTCTGGGCAGCCTGTGCCAGTGCTCTGTCACCATTACAGTAAAAAAGTTTTTCCTCACATTCAGACTGAACCTCCTATGCTCCAGCTTGCACCCATTGCCCCTTGTCCTGTCATTGGCTGTCACTGAGAAGAGCCTGGCTCCTTCCTCCTGACACTCGCCCTTTACAAATTTATAAACATTAATGAGGTCACCCCTCAGTCTCCTCTTCTGCAAACTAAAGAGACCCAGCTCTCTCAGCCTTTCCACATAAGGGAGATGCTCCACTCCCTCCATCATCTTTGTAGCCCTACGCTGGACTCTCTCCAGCAGTTCCCTGTCCTTGAACTGAGGGGCCCAGAACTGGACACAATATTCCAGATGCGGTCTCACCAGGGCAGAGTAGAGGGGGAGGAGAACCTCTCTCGACCTACTGACCACACTCCTTCTGATACACCCCAAGATGCCATTGGCCTTCTTGGCCACAAGGGCACATTGCTGGCTCATGGTCATCCTGCTGTCCACCAGGACCCCCAGGTCCCTTTTGGTTGTGCTGCTCCCCAACAGGCCAGTCCCCAACCTATACTGATACATGGGGTTGTTCTTCCTCAGATGCAAGACCCTACACTTGCCCTTGTTCAATTTCATTAGATTTTTTCCCCACCCAACTCTCCAGCCTGTCCAGGTCTCCACTAAATGGCAGCACAGCTTCTGGCATGTCAGTCACTCCTCCCAGTTTTGTGTCATCAGCAAACTTGCTGACAGTGCACTCTGTTCCCTTGTCCAGGTCATTGATGAATTTATTGAATAGTACTGGTCCCAGTACCAGCTCCTGGGGGACTCTACTACATACAGGGCTCAGACTAGACTCTATCCCATTGACCACAACTCCCTGACTTCTTCCCTTCAACCAGTTGAAACTGTGGTGATTATATCATCAAAACACCTCATGAAACGTTTTTAAAACTTGGCATTTGTGACAGCAATTTTTTTTAAAGTAGGTGTAGATTATTAGTGCTTATAGAAGAGGACAGCAGTGACTTCTTTTGCAGTAGGAAATGATGACAGCTCACATTGGAGATTAAGAAATAGGGGTATAGCTGCTAGGCATCTAGCAATTTAGCAAACACAAGTAGAAGAGGTATAATGAAATATGCGGTTTCTGGGCAAAAGCCAAATTGCATTTTCTACTCAAGCTGTATGTAAAAAATCATTGTATCATCATTGTAAATAATTGTGAACCAGGGTCTCCCTCTCCAGTGGAGAAACTCCAGTTCTGAAAAGCTTCAGCTGTTGAAGTTAATGAGAACAAAGTAATGAATTCAAGTATGAACCCACTCCCAGCAGCAATATCTCATGGTAATTAAGGAAAGATGTGATAACATTGCATGATGCTGTGGCCTCAAGTGGTTCTCTAAGAAGGAGCAGCTCAGCAACACTGACCAAGGACCCGTCCTTAATACCTCTGTATGGTGTTTTGCTATGAGTCAAATACTGATAGCTGTTTTCTAAAACTCTTTTAGCACTGTCTGGAAAGTTTGAGGGGAAAAGTACAAGAACTACACCAGAATTACAGAGCAGTGTTTCAGAATTGAAGTGTTATTTTTGGTAACAGTAACCTTAGCTATTTCTCTATTTTGTCCTGTGCTACTTCTGACAGCCAAACAACTATTCTAACTCTAGGGCGAGCAACAAAGTGTTTGCTTTAGACTGAAACTGAGATCCTGCTGTAACTTAAGAATACATCAGCATCAAAGCAGTGGCATATAAAATGCCCTCAAACCTTCAGCCACGCTGCTGCTATTGTACCATACATGTTTGTGTCGGAAATGTGTAACTACTCAACTCCGAATTATTTTGCATATGAAATGTCGTTTCACCCATCGTTGTTTTGTAACACAGCTTTATTAAATACAACCCAGATTTAATGTACAAAGTGTAAAAATAACTTGAATTTGAAATATATACAGTACTGTACATGTGCATTCAGTAGCGTTTTCGGAGTTTTTGTCTTTGCAGCACTCTGCAGGCTGGTAACGAGTCCTCAGGTTCCTTTGTGTCTTTCTGAAGAGCTTCAGCCACTTCAGAACTGATTTTGGATGAGTTACTTGCTTCCCCAGTAGACTTGGAACTATTTTTGCGTGAAAGATCATCAGATAAATTAGCAGCTATTGTGCTGCTGCTTTCATTTCCATCATCATTCTTCTTTTCTTCTGGTAAATTATTCATGAGCGCTTGTGTATTAATCATTGCAAGCTCTTCATCAGCAACCAGGTCATTCTCAGGAAGATGGACAGTTCCTCTCAGCCTTCTACAGGGGGTGACATAGCCAATATTCTGATGTGTTTCTTTTGATGACTTGCTACGCTGGAAACCCAAACTTCGTGGCGGCTGAAATGCTTTTCTTAAGGATGGAGAGATGACTGAACAGATTGGGGTCAGCGGGGGAGGCGCAGGTATGCAGCTGAGGAAGTCCATTGCTTTTCTCTTCTTGCTATTTTTGAGATGGTCTTCAGCAGCTGTGGCAGATGAAGGTGTTTTTGCTGACCCTTGTGCGACAAGTTTCACATTCGGTGTGCTCACTGACAAAGGGCTCAGATGTTTTATTTCAATTTTAGAAGACAAAATCTAGTTAAAAAGAGGTAAGTTTTATGTTTAATAGCATGTCCTAATTCATTACCTTCCTCAATTACTTCCACAAAGCAAGGGAAAAAACCTGATACAAAAATGCTGTCATCATTCATGTCCAACTTATCTTTAGTTTGGTATCTTCTGATGGTGACTGATATTATTCTTTCAAGTACTGACACTTGACAAATGACTGTTTACCTGTACATTAGGACAGCACATTTGCGTTCTGAGATCTAAGCTAAAGGTATGGGAGTTCTACAGCTAAAAGTATGAGAGTTTTTCCTGTGCCAGAAGAAACCAAAGCATCCATAAAAAGGAGTTGGTATTCTACTGCATTGAAGATACCCCCAGCAGGTTGTTAAACAGGGAAAATGAGGAAAAAAATTTAGAAGAAAAAAAGGATAGAATATAAGACAACAAACTTGAAGAAAATAATACAGATGAGATAGAAGCTACACAGCAAATCATTAAAACACATGCTTGAGAATACCTTTAGCATCATTTGTTTTCACTTGGTTAGTATACTTAATAAACAGATATAAACTAAACCTTTAAAATTAAATATTAGCACTGAAATGGAAAAGGATGCCTTATACGGTTAAATTTAGACCCGCGGAGTTCATCTCACATGAGGGTGTTTCTACCTCCCTCGCAGCTAGCGTCAGGACAGATTTGTGTGCTGAACTCCACATCAGGAACATCTTGTCACCAGCTGCCTTCATGGGAAACAAGGACGATTTAACTCTACTTTTGTCAAGACTGCTATAAAATGTAAACACTTACTAGGTGATACCTCTTCCCTTTTAAATCCTGGAAATAGTGAACAATCTCTAGAAAAAGAAGCCTGGGAGGTAAATTCTCTAAACAAAGGTAGGAACTGCAGAATGCCATGAAAGAAAAGTTTAGAGATCGAGATGTTTTTTTCCTTCCAGTGACAACCATGTCTGATAATCTTCACAATGCAACCAAAGAAACAATAAATGATCTATAGGAAAAGGATGGTTCATTCTACTCATATAAAATTCAGAATATTTAAAGTATGCTGTCAAAATAGGCAAGGGGAGGTTTTCATGTACTGCTTGGAAGAAGAATAGTTTTAGTTCCTCCTGGGGAATGATCCTAAACCCACACACACAGAGAAAGCTTCTGATCAGCTTGCACTGCCCTGGAGAGAACCCACGGAGCTGACTCAGAATAGACACCGTTCACCACAGCTACCAGCATAAAACTGAAATCCTTACTGTACGTACTGTCAGTATAAATCCAGTATTAATTACCAGAATCTTACCGAGCTTTTATTATCCT